TGTCATCTTACTTTGTTTGTACCCTGCACCCTAATACACATCTAGATGTGTATAAGAGACAGGAGAGAGAGAGAGAGAGAGAGAGTGCTCAAAGAGATGAAGCGGGGTTAGAGAGAGGAGACAGACAGACCGACAGACTGACTGACGATGCTGGAGAATTAAAATGGTGATCACCTATTTGGAAGTCTGAGAGTTTGAGCAAGGGTGGTGTGCATTGGGGGGTGTTTTTGGGGGGGGGGCGGGAGAGAGAGAGAGAGAGAGAGAGTACTTTATAAATGTTTTTTCTTATTTTGGAGAACAAGGAAGAGAGAGAGAGAGAGAGAGAGAGAGAGAGAGAGAGAGAGTAGTTTCTAAATGTTGAACAAGGTCTTGCCAAGGCATAACAGTATGACCCACAACTTGAACCCCTCCAAGAAAGGATTACAAAACGAACATAAAATCATCAAAGTCTGACAAAAGATTAAAAAACTATTAAAGAAAGAAATGAAAAAAAAAAAAAAGATTCAGTTCAGAGAATCGTGACCACAACTTTGACATCCGCAACCCTCCAAAAAAAAAAAGAAATAAGAAATAAAAGCTCCTCAGATGGCACAGAACATCCTAACCAAACAAATAAATAAGCTAGGGAGATGGGGGAGTGTCTTCACCTCACTAATTGGCAGAGCCCTGGTACTCAATACCTCGGTATTCTCGATGATGTGGTACATTACCTCGATATGGACAATACCGGATAGCTCACTAAAGGAATTGAACTGCTTAGCCAGGAATTACTTATGGTCAGGGAACCCCAATAAAAGGAATAGCATACCCAAGATTGCATGGCAGTACATCACGAGGAAGCCGCTCTATGGGGGGTTGGGTATCATCGACCCTAAAGATGAGACAAAAGCCCTCCAAGTCAAATGGGTAATCAAACTGCTGATGAAACCAGAAAGCCCATGGAATAAACTGGCACTCGATAGCATCAGGGCTCTGGCACCTATAACCTCTCCCGAAAACATGGCCGGGCTGTTTTGGATAATGACTAGGGAATGGAAGCTCAAAACAGGCAGGAGAAGGCAGAGAGGTGAGCCAGTCCAAGACGCGGGCAGATTCTCCACCCCATACTGGTCGGCCCTGATCCGGTTATGGAGAGAAATAATGCCAAAAAGAGTAAACAGGCCAAGGTCCGTAGAGGAGGTCCGAAGACAACCACTTTTTGGTAACAGCTGGGTGACTGACGAGGGAAATAATCCCCTCGTCCTAGAACAGAGATGGCTCTCTTGGGTCAAAAACGGGGTATGGACAGTCGGTCACCTATGGAAGGAAGAAAGAAAGGGATGGATAAATGAACAAGAATTGAACATGCTACAGAAGGTCTGTCATAAAAGAGGACCCAACTTTCACTACATCATTGATAGAATCCCAACAAACTGGAAAGATATCTTAAAGGAAGCCATACCGTGGAAGGCTGGGGAGTGGGGACTTAAGGTGCAAGAATGCCCCCCCTCAAGAGCCTTTCACTTTTCTCATATGCACCCGGGATCGACCACACAAGCCATCTTTTCGACCTTCCTGATTTCTTCGTCGCTTCAAGGCAGGCCATTGATATTTAATAAGGATGTGGAGACAGTAGTTATGGAGTTCTATTTACTTAGAAAAATAAGAGTGCTAGGTCAATGGCCAAAACAGATCTTTAGACCAGAGACGGCAGTGAGGAACCTGGAATTTGACCCAGCCGAATGTGGTTGGACACCAGACAAAGACAGGAATATCAACTCTAGGGTCCCGATATACAACTACACAGTTAAGGTCGGATATAAACTTTTGGTCAAAACAAAAGACCCAGCTCCGGTAATCAGAAACAGATGGCAGAAATTATTAGGACAGGAAGCTGACAACCTCTCCCAGATCCCCTGGAAAGATACAAAACTATAAAACCAATCAAAATCAGAAGCCTTCAGTGGCTTATCACATATGCCGCACTGCCGGTCAATAAATGGTTACATACAAGACGTCACAAAAACGATCCTAGCAGCTCGGACCTATGCACGGTCTGCACCAGAGGGAGCCCACAAGACATAGTACATTGCCTACTCTATTGCAGTGAAGCCACGGAATACTGGGCAAGGGCATCAGCTCTATGGGACTCTCTCTTTAGTACGCCCTTCCCCGAACATCCCATCCAACTTCTTCTCTGGACTAACCTCCCTGACCATCTCAAAAAGACAGAACGGCTGTGGTTTGGACTAATCAGGAAAGTGACACTGTGGGTCATCTGGAAGGAAAGATGTGGCAGAACCATTGAAGGCCTCTCTAACCCGCGAGAAAAGGTGTGGGGGAAAACAAAAACCTTGTTGCAGGCAGAAATCCAGAGCAGATGGTGGAGACAGAGGCCGTCGATGCCGGAGGACGAGGACATACAAAGGCCAGGAAGAGATTCAGCAGGCTATGGCTGTTGGAAGGCAAGGTGGCAGAACTTCGGGTTGATAGGCTACTCTGGAAGGACTGGCATAATTCAGAATCCAGTGGGCGGAACCAGATGGCAACAGTGTTGGAAAGACATCTGAGCTAAGCAAAACCTGGTGCACCCGAAGAAGGAAAAAACAGAGAAGAACAGGATAAGGGTCAACAACTTGAGGCCAGGAAGAGGTCAGCAGATAGGTGATGAGGGAAAGGAAATCGGTGGAGCCGAGAGACGAGGAATAAACGAAGGAAATCGAAAAGGGTCTCCATAACGGGCAAGGGAACTCGATTCAAAGTACAGCTTCCGGGCAAGCAGTACAAGGAAGCTTCCTAGGTTTGGAAGGGAAGTGGGGTCGCAGAATCCGTAGATGAGGGATTAGGGTTTAGGGTTCAGAGGTGGGGGCCAGAAGGGAAGATAAGGTGGGACAAGAGGTGAGTAGGTCTTTTGGGTAATCTTGGCCACAGAACTGCTTTCCGAGTTTTCTAGGTGTGACAGAAGCTCTTTATAGGTGATATAGCTCTATCTGGCAGATCCTTTTATCAGGTCTGAGAGGAAAGAGTGAGGCATGGCAAGCTGACAGTCAATCCTCCACCAAGGTGGAGCAATCAATGCTGCTCAGGGGTCCTTCGGCCAGACGGAAGGAAGCGTGAGTATTTCTTATTGCAATACTTATTCTGGCTTGCCGGTGGAATAGGAACCGGACTGACGCTCCCCAGAATGGAAAGGAGCCAGGACCATAATGGCCCTGTTTTTGTTTTTAAAAAACTAAAATAAAAAAATAAAAATAAAAAAATAAAAAAAAAACTTTTAAAAAAGTCAATTTGGAAAAAAGTGCCGACTTCTCGTCGTCATACAAACCACTTTCCATATTTCTGGCAGATAGCACACAGCTAAAATTAAGACAATCAAAAAAAAAAAAAAAAAAAAAAAAAAAAGAGAGAGAGAGAGAAAATCCATTCACTCCTACCGGTAGGCTACCAGCCAGGCCGCCCGGGTCACCCTATTTTCCCGGACGGCCCAGCCGTGCAAGGACCAGGGAAGATCCTACCAAAAACAAAAAAACAAAAAAAAACAAAAACTCCGAAAACAAACTATGTTATGCAGAAAAATAAACTGAACAACTTTTGCTTCAGGGTCACATCGAAATTCATTACCATATTTAAAATAAAAAATAATTTTAATTTTAGTAATTTATTTTCTTTTTATTATTATTTTTTGGCACGGCCGGGCAAGTGGCCACGGGCCACTCCGGTAGCCTAGATTCACTCAATAATAAGTTTAATAACTTAATAATAAGTGAATAACTACAAAACTGCACTGGAGTGAGACAGTAGTCAGTGCAGCGATTTGCCAAAAAACAAGGAAGAGAAAATGGATTCATCTCGGGCGTACCAAAGAGCACTCACAACACAAAGTACTCTTCGAAAACCTCAAAACTTCTCAAAAGTCAACTTTCTTACAACCCAAAAAAAAAAAAAAAAAAAAGGCCAAATCCTCACTGAGCTACCACAGAAGCAGAACTGGTAACAAAAAAAAAAAAAAAAAAAAAAAGAAAGAAAGAAAGAAAGAAAGAAAGAAGCAGAACTGGTAGCACACACATTAAATGACACCAGCGTCCCCAGAGTGCAGCACACACATTAGTTGGTTGCTCTGTTTTTCTTTTCTTTAAATTCTTTTTTTTTCATTATTATTATGATTATTATTATTATTATTATGGTCAAAAAGTCATTTCGTGCAAGGCCTCTATCACGGCCGTGGTGAGAGAACCACCGGGATTGAGGCCTTGATTATGAGGCTGCTCCTTCAACTGGTGGGGAGCTGCACCATCTTCAAACCAGGTCCAGCGTCCCTTTAATACATCCTCCGATGGAGCCTTCAACGCTGGGACCTACTTACCGGGGTTGCTCTTATCACCTCGCTAAGTAGGTTTCCCGTATACCAAGTTTCAAAAAAAAAAAAAAAAAAAAAACCTCCAAAAGCCCTTTTAATACAAACGCAAATTTAGCATGTTCCAATCTATTGGTGGGGAGCTGCACCAGCTAGAAACCGGTTGCAGCATCCCTTTGATACATCTTCGACTCTTCTCGGACTCATAAAGTCACTCATTCCTGAAGGATGTTCAACATGCAGAGGCCAGGCCAGGCCAGGTCACATCAGGCGTGTAAGCTTATCGCATTTGGAGTTGGGCCGGATCATTGCAGACACAGAAGAGCTGCGGATGTGGGACAGAGAGGTGCTTCGATGACCAAATGCAGAGAATCTACCTCTTGTTGCTGTGATTCGGTCGTAATGGACTCCACCAGCGGGTGCTCCGGGGCTACCACCATATACCTGCAACATCACAGCAGACATCACAAAGTCAGGGTTTCAGGCTCTCTCTCTCTCTCTCTCTCTCTCTCTCTCTCTCTCTCTCTCTCTCTCTCTCTCTCTCT